CTGGGGTTTGAGAAAATGTGCTTATTATTAAATTGTACTATGATAGAAACTTTGCACTGATCACCTTATTTCAGTTTTATCTATGCGTGTAAATTATGTTCCCCAGGAGTCGATGTTCTCTATTTACAGATGTGAAAGTCAGCCCACACATGGATGGGCTCCGTAGGTATCTCAGGGTTCATGTCTGGGATGAGCGAGTGCTGGTATCTGGGCCTGCGCTTCTCACCACCGGCCCTGACTCCTCCCTTAGCCAACTCCAGGGCAGAGCTGCACATGCCTAGTGTGGTTTGCAGAAGCCACTGCTGGATCAGAATAGATGTGATTTTGCTGTATTCTCCTGTTTACCTAAAACTATGGAGAGAACTAGGGTTCAGATAGATCTCTGACAATGAACATACTGGCATCTATCTTTCTGCCACTCCTGTATTGTCTGATACTCAACTTGTTTCATTGTTATAAATTTTATAGGGTTTGATTGACAGATTATACACAAGTATAAAATTGATAATCATGACATAACTATTACCATTATCAAGAAAGTGGACAAGTTAAATTACCTCAAATTTTTTTCTGTCCTTCTACATTTTCTTATCCTTTCTCTTTTCCTTCTTCCAACATATTCACAGACAACTACTAATCTTTTTTTTTTTTTTTTTTGCTTTTTTTTATACTTTAAGTTCTGTGGTACATGTACAGATTACGGCGGATTGTTACCTAAGTGTACACATACCACAATAGTTTGCTGCATCCATCCCCCCATCATCTACATTAGTTATTTCTCCTGATATTATTCCCTCCCCAATCCCTCCACCTCCTGTTTCCCCACCCCCCAGTCCCCCCATCCCCTCCCTGTGTCCAGATGTTCTCATTGTTCAACACTCATTTATGAGTGAGGAAATGCAGTGTTTGGTTTTCTGTTCTTGCGTCAGTTTGCTAACAATGATTGTTTCAAGTTTCATCCATGTCCCTGCAAAGGACATGTTTTTTATGGGTGCATAGTATTCCGTGTTGTGTATGTGCCACATTTTCTTTATTCAGCCTATCATTGATGGGCATTTAGGTTGGTTCCAAGTCTTTGCTATTGTCAAAAGTGTCGCAATGAACATACATATGCATGTGTCTTTATAATAGAATGATTTATAATCCTTTGGATATATACCCAGTAATGGCATTGCTGGGTCAAATAGTATTTCTATTTCTAGGTCCTTGAGGAATTGCCACACTCTCTTCCACAATGTTTGAACTAATATACACTCCCACCAACAGTGTAAAGGTGTTCCTATTTCTACACATCCTCTCCAGCATCTGTTGTCTCCTGGTTTTTAATGATCGCCATTCTAACTGGTGTGAGATGGTATCTCAATGTGGTTTTGATTTGCATTTCTCTAATAACCAGTGATGATGATCATTTTTTCATATGTTTCTTGGTCTCATAGTTGTCTTCTTTTGTAACGTGTCTGTTCATATCCTTTCCCACTTTTGAATGGGCTTGTTTTTTTTCTGTAAATCTGTTTTAGTTCTTTGTATATTCTGGATATCAGCCCTTTGTCAGATAGGTAGATTGCAAAAATCTTTCCCATTTTTTGGGTTGCTGCTTCCCTCTAATGATTGTTTCCTTTGCTATACAGAAACTCTGGAGTTTAATTAGATCCCATTTGTCTATTTTGGCTTTTGTTGCCATTGCTTTTGGTGTTTATACTCACTGTCCTACAAGACCCACACAATGAACCTGGTAACTCGTTTGGAATTGTGGAGACCACTCGGTTTCTGCACCTCTCTTGCTGGGAGCTGCTTTCTGGAGCTGCCTTTTATTCAGCCATCTTGGGATCGACCATTCTTTTTCTTTATAATTGGAACAGTCACAAAAATCTTCCCTTCCCAAAGTGTCTGTCTGAAAGAATATGAGAGACCACACTTCTGATATGTGTCCAAGCCCAACTGTCTTGTCTTATCCCCACTATAGAACTAAGACTCCATGAGGGAGAACCACCAACACACGTACCCTAAAGGCACTGCTGCAACCTATTAGGAATGGAGATGGGAACAGAGTTCCCCACCAAAATTGTACTGGGATGCAGTTCCCCTGTTTCTTATGGGATCAGAGCCTTAGTCTGCAGGGCAGGGCAGTAGATCTGGAAGGTGATGACACAAGTGGAGAACACTAGAGCTGTGGAGGAAACACCTTGGGGAAACAGGGAGACTCTACCCCAGGGGAAGTGGCAAGAAAACACAGACCAGCATGTCATCTAGAGAAGGGTCAGGAACAATCGCAAGCTCAGGCCCTGACACGGGGTCACAAAGCCTTCTTAAGAATATGGACCAAGGTATATGGACCTAGGGATATAGAGCCTTTAGTCTAATGCCTTGCACTGATTTAGAAATTGTCGGTAAATAAAACAGGTGCATGAACCTGAGGGAGCTGAAAGAGATTGTCTGGAGGACAGAACAAGGTGAAGAGACAAAGTCAGGAAGATGCCATTGAAGATCTGTAGTCTCTGGTAGACGTAGAGTAACAGACTTCAATTAGTTTTGAAAATTTTATGTCAGTCTTTAGTAATTTTATGTGATAAAACAGTCAGCCTCATCAATGGAATTCTTTTATGCCCATAACAGATGAGTATCTATGTGGCATGTGGTGAAGTTCTAGTCATGAGGACAGGGGAGATGGTCTGTTGAGGTGTTCCTAGTCCTTCAGAGGAGAGTTGCAAACATGTCTCTTCCCCACATCCAGCCAATATTTAATACATGTGTGTGACCCCTGGGAATGCTGTCACCATTCAGTGCATGATGGGAGTCCCCTGGGAAGTGAAGCTGACTTCTGGATATATCAGTGTGGAAAATTGAGAAATGAAACTGCCTGGGCACATGAGCTGTCAAATTATTCAATCCCGGAGGCTCTCACATCAAGCTTCTTGGATTGGCATAGTGGGCTGATACTGTCTACAGCCTCGCCACTTTTCTGCCTCCTGCCTCTTCCCCAGACTCCACCACCTGCACCTCAGCCTAGACACCTACAAACATAGAGACATTTTGGTAAGAAACTGTTGCATATAATCATGTTCTTTACTCATATCCACTCACACTCAACATCTCTAGTTCTCCATTATTTGCATTTTAAAATAGCAACAAGGAAAACCCAGCTCAGCCCTAACTCTATGGTGAGCCATCTGTGTTCAGAGCTGATCATCAAATCAAAATTCCTGGTAATTCTGACTGGGGCTCTTCTCCGGAGCTGTAGGGTCAGGGCTGGGCTGGTTTTCATCAGTAGGGGAAAGGTCCTATCTGTGTCTCATCCTCTGTAGCCAACTCTGAGGAGAGAGTGAAGCCCAGAGCAGACGTGAGATTCCTGGAGGAGTGTAGCGGTGATGGCAGCATTCGGGAAACATAATTTCTTATTATGTGAATTTCCCATTAAAATTACTAAGCAATTATTTTATTTAATAGAAGTGTAACTGTATTGATCAGCTTTAAGAGGTATGAAGGTAGAAATAGAAAACAATAAAAAGGAGGAGACTCCAACACCTCACCCTCAATAATGTATAGAACATCCACAAAACATTCTTAGGAAGCCAGTGGATTTACCCAACGCTATTGAACAAACTGACCCAATAGACATCTATAGAAAATTCCAACCAAGAGCAGCATAATATACATGCATCCCAAGCACACAATAAATATTCTTTATAATAGGTGTATGTTAGAGAAAAAATGAATTTTAAAATTAAAAAAATAATAATGCCAACTATTCTCTTTTTCAAAAATTGGTGAGGCTCCAACCTTCTCAACTCTCTCTAGAAGGCTACAATAACCATATTACCAGTAATAGACAATGGCGAAAGAAGAAAGTTACACTTCAAATATTCTTAATATACATAAATATACTACTCCCAGTAATAGTCGATTACATTCTATAGGACTTTAGAAAACTGGGTGCAGTGAGTCTCACCTGTAATCCCAGCACTTTGGGACGGTGAAGTGATGAACCACCTGAGGTCAGACATTTATGTCCAGCAGGGCCAAAAGGTTAAACCTTGTCTCTACTAAAAATACAAAAATTAGAGAGGTGTGGTGGCATATTACTGTAATCCCAGCTATTTGGGAGGCTGAGGCAGGAGAATCACTTGAGCCTGGGATGCGGAGGGTGCAGACAGCCAAGATTGCACCACTGTCCTCCAGCCTGGGTGATAGAGTAAGACTCCGTCTCAAAAAAAAAAAAAAAAAAAAAAGAGGGAGTTATACACCATAGCAAACTAAAATTTATTTTTGCGATGCACAGATGACTCAGTATCCTCAAGTCAATACATTTGGTGTGCTTAACTAAGATAATAAAGAAAAAAATTTTCATTAACTTCTCACTAGACAGAGAAAATAACATTTAAAAATCAAGATTTCATAATAAAAACTCTAAAAAGTGAATATAACCTGTACATGATAAAGGTCATTTTGAAAAGCCATGTCTGTTATCATACTTAATTAGTAAAATGTTAAAATATTTTGCTAGAGTATCTGTAACAAGGCAAAAATAAACTTGAAGGCATTTTACTTCCAGATTTCAAAAGTAATTACGAAAGTAGAGTAATAAAAACAAGATGGCATAGGCAGAAATATATATTGAGAGTTCAGACATAAACTGATACACTGAGGACAATCTGATTTTCAGCATGAGAACCAACAATATACAACGGATAAACCAAAGTCTCTCCCTAAGAGGGTGCTGGTAAAACTGGATTTACACAAGCAAAGAGTTAAGAATTTTAGGTTAGAATAAACACAAAAATTAACTCTAAATGGGCTAAATAGCTAAATGCATAACCTGCAGTTGTACAATTTCCCTCACCCAAAAATAATGTTAACAGAGATTTTCTATATTTCACATTAAAGGCACAGACAACAAGAGCAGATTAAGTGGATCTTCCAGCAGCCATTAAGACTTCCCACTGATGTCTTCAGCTTCCTCTTTTCTGCCCCTCCCAGCAGACGAGGCTAGTATTCCTGAGGAAATGAGAGGAGGTGGGAGATGAGGCTGTCATTCCTGAAAGAATGGACAGAGCTTTGGAGCTTTTCTTTCTTCTATCTCAATCCTTACAAAAAAAGGTAGAGATAATATTAGGAAGCACAGAATTCTAAATTTAGAGAGATTCACTAGAGAAACTGTCAGAAGATGAAGTCCCACATCCTGACGGGAAATCAGCCTCCATCTGCACCTGCCTCTGGGGTTGACGCTGATCAGTGGCTCCCGAGCGCCCCCCGCAGCTCATTCCCCCGAGTGTTCGTGCAGGAGGTTTGTGTCCCGGCTCACACTGACTTCCCCTCACTGTGTCTCTCGCACAGTAATACACGGCCGTGTCCTCAGCTCTCAGGCTGTTCATCTGCAGATACAGCGAGTTCTTGGCGTTGTCGGAGTCTGCGTAGTATGTGCTACCACCACTGCCACTACTAATGAGTGAGACCCACTCCAGACCCTTCCCTGGAGCCTGGCGGACCCAGCTCATCCAGTAGCTACTGAAGGTGAATCCAGAGGCTGCACAGGAGAGTCTCAGGGACCCCCCGGGCTGAACCAAGCCTCCCCCAGACTCCACCAGCTTCACCTCACACTGGACACCTGCAAACAAAAAGAAACCCTGGTCAGAAAATGCCACAAATATCCACCATTTATCTCACTCTTATCACTTACACTCTATTTCAATAGTTCTCTATGAATTACCTTTTAAAATAGCAACAACGAAAACCCAGCTCAGCACAAACTTCATGGTGAGTTCAGTCGTGATCACCAAATGGAGACACCTGAAAATCCCAGGGCTGGGCTCCTCTCCCAGTGCTGCAGGGTCAGGGCTGGGCTGGTTTTCATCAGCAGAGCGAGGGCTCTATTTGCATCCTGCTATATAGCAAAATCTGTGGTGAGAGGCGTGAGGAGAGAGCGGGGCTCAGAGCATGGGACAGTGTCCTGGGGGAGATTTGTGACATTGATAGTATTGGGAAATTGTGGTTTCTTATTGGAAGTGTGTTCTGTGATAAACCCTTACAACCTATAAAACTTACATATTTTAATTTCTATTTTAAAACAGTTTTATTGAGGTACAGTAGATCTATATAACCCACATATATTTAAAGTTAGCACCTATCATCTTTTATGTTTACATATGCAGAGAAAACATGGTATGTGGTATCAATGTTTTTCCATGTTACAGGTGAAAAATTACCAGGAAAAGCACAGGTGGGTGGCACAATGTCCCCAGAGCTCACATTTGGTCAGAGTGCACCTGTGTACCTGGGCCTTTGCTTCTCACCACTGGACCCACTTCTCCCTGAAACAAGCCCAGCACACAGTGGGTGGCACCTAGTGAGGTTTGCAGAACCTTTTCTCTGTGAGTGTGATGTGTTCTACATGGTGTGATGTGTACTCACTGCTGTGACTACCTAATAAACGTAAAGAAAAGTGCATTTTCTACAGTTGTATTTTCTCGAGTGTCATACATATTTCATATCGGTGTCTATCTTTCCATCAGTCTTTAACAAATTACCCATCCGCTTATTGGCAATACCCTTATTGAGGCATTATTGTTTTACAATAAATATTGCATAGTTAATGTCTCCAGTTGAATAAGCACTGAAGCCGAGCCTGGTGGTGCACACCTGTGGTCCCAGCTACACAGGGAAGCGGGAGGAGGATTGCTGCAGACCCAGGGTCTGAGACTGCAGAGAGCTGTGATCTCACCACTGAGCTCCAGCCTGGATGACAAAGCAAGACCATGACTCCAAAGGAAAACACATCATTTAACACATGCTCACCTGTACAGCCCATATAACAATCAAGATACCAATGAACTACATTTAAAAGCTTCTGTCTCTTCCTCTGATTCCCAGTCATTTCCCTCTTATTATACTGAGACAAACTTTCATCTTTGTTACTTTAGATCTATTTTTCAAGATTTGATAAAGTGAAATCTTGTAGCTTCAATTTCATTTCTGTGGCTTCTTCCTCAGCCTAATTACTTGTGAGTCAGTAATTTGGTTGTGTATAAAAAATGTGTTGATCCTAATGAGGAGGAGAATTGCAGTTAATGAGAGCACCCCTATTATTTATTTATAAAGCACCATAAAATTTGTGTTATTTCTAGTTTTTAGTATTAAAAATAAAGTTTATACTCAGCATGGAGATATAGACATCCAAGAAAAGTATGTTATTTTTACACTTGAACTTGCTGAGATGCAAATTGGCACGTTTTCTTTAGTACATCAGATTAATGATGTTATAGGACGAACGAGAGACCTTACATCTTGAGAAACTCAGTGATTTACAAAAACAAACAGGAAGAGAATATGACCGTATGTAGGGCAGAAGCCAGCAAATGAGATAAAACAAGATTAAACTGGACATTTTCTTTAAATTCTTTAAAATTTAGTGTAGTGAAGTTATTGTTTAAATTCTCAGAGCGCGCACAACTAAGGGATTCCTCCTGCTACTGAAACCTTTTCTGCCAGCATTGAGGATACGTCACAGAAATCTCCACCCTCTACCTCCCGAGATGCTTCTGTGCAGGAAAACGGAACAGCAGCTGTGGCTGAAATGCATCCAGACCCACCTCCCCCACCACCACTGCATTACCAAAGCTCTCACCTGCAGGGGCAAAGACGCTAACACCTCTGTGTTGCTGGCAGTGGAGGAACTCATAGAAACTGGGATAGAAGAAAGAAAAGCTCCAAAGCTCTGTCCATTCTTTTTGGAATGACAGCCTCATCCCCCACCTCCTCTCATTTCCTCAGGAATAGCAGCCTCGTCTGCTGGGAAGGGCAGAAAACAGAAAGCTGAAGACATCAGTGAAAAGACGTATTGGCTGCTGGAAGAATAAAACAACCAAGGAGAGACACTCCCCAGGGAAGAAAGGAAGCCACATGGATCAGCATTGCACCTGCAGGAGGGGCAGGGATGCTTGGAAGGACACACCCTGAGCCAGGACTGTGATGTCAGCCTGGAGTATGCCCCCCTCAGAAAAGCAGAGTGCCCGTTCCGTGCATCCCTTCCCACCTCATTGTCAACACTCAGGTCCACGTACCTCTGTCACGACCTGGGGGATCTGAAAGACAGAGTCTCTCTGTTTAGCACAGGATTAAGGCCCAAAGCCAAGCAGGAAATAAAATTCAGGTGTCACTGGAGGAATCTGAGTGTCTGGTGTCTGCAGAGGAACACACTTCAGTTCTGGCAGCCACTGGGACAATGACTTTCAAATGTATCCCTGATCAGTTTCACACAATTTCCTACAATAAATGCCTAGATAAGATAGGGTGTGATCATCTACAAAAATTGCAAAAATCATAAAACAAATAATTAGAGGTCATTGAGAGAAGTATCTGGGGAACATTAATTTTGAAATAATTTGCCTAAGTACTTTTAAACATCTGCACTTTATCCCTCAGTTAGTCTATATGTAACTCTGAAAGAAATTGCCAACATTTGTTTAATTTTAGTAATACTTTATTAATGTCATGCTTGTGAATGGATAAAAGACCAGAGAGTAGCTTATCTTAGAAGTATTGATAAAAAGTCCAACTTTGCAAAATACTTAGAGAGATTTATTCTGAGCCAAATGTGAGGACCAGGCCCTGCGACACAGCCCCAGAAGATCCTGAGTAGCTTATAGGAACCTGTCCTAGTCGGGGGTATCGGAAATTATTTGCTGAGGTAACCACATTGAAGTGGAGACTTGAAAGATGCCAGATTCCTCTCTGAAAACATTTTCTCTTGACACTAGAAGTAAACTTAGCAGAAACAAATGTTAGCATTTCTTCTGTGTTCAAAATCGCCACCCATTGGGAAAATAATTAAAATTTACAAACAAACAGTCCAGTAGATTTCTAAAGTCCTTTCCAAACCCAACGATTCTGATTAGTTTGCAGATTATGCAGAACATCCCACCTAATAGGAATCTGCAGTTAACTGGATTCCCCTGCATTGGGGTTTTGTAATGTTTAATTTATGTAGATACAGAATACTACAAAACCTGTAAGGGGTACATGTGATATTTTGGTAAAAGATTATTATGTGTAGTGATCAAATCTGGATAACTGGAATATCCTTCAACTCAATAATCGATTATTTCTTTGTGTTAAGAACATTCTAAATCTTGTTTTCTACTTTTTTGAAATATACACTAAAATATTAACTGTAGTTGTCTATGTGCCATTTTAGAATTTCCACCAGGAAGGAGTGTAAGTTCCTGGGAGTTTCTCAGCTTCCTCATCGCCATTTGGTATTTTCTATACTGTGTGTTTTACTCATCCTAATAGGCTAGTAGTATTTTCTGAATCTGTCTCGATACATGGTTTTGTATTTAGTTTTGCTTATATGATGAATAACATTTACTGATTTGCATATGTTGAACCAACCTTGCATCCCAGGAGCAAAGCCTACATGATCACGGTGGATTAGCTTTTCGATGTGCTGCTGTGTTCAGCTTGTCAGTATTTCATCGCGCATTTTTCCATCAGGAATACTGGCCTAAAGTTATCTTTTCTTATTTTCAATTGAGTCTCTGTCAGGGTTTGTTATCAGAATACTGTTCTCATAGAATAATTCAGGGAGTGGTCCTTCCTCCTCAGGTTTTGGGAATAGTTTCAGTAGGATTGGTGCAACTCTTATTTAAATCTGAAAAAAAAACTGGCTGTGAATCTTTCTGGTCCATGGCTTTTTCTGGTTGCTACCACCTGTCTATCTTGATGTCTGACCCCCACCTGAGCCATTAATAATCACATTGAATTCAGATAAACCTGAATCCAATCCAGTGTTTATTGTAGTTCTTAACAACGTTACTGGCTTAACTTCGGGAACATTTCTTCACCAAAAACAGTTTCACTGCCAATAATATTTAAGAATTTCTGTTGGAAATTTTTCATGTGTTTTAGTGATGAAATTTATTTTAAAACAACGTTGACCTCTCCACATGCATAATGATTATTCCTACTATTGTTGAACGGGCCAGCAACCATCTATTCCTGCTTTTTCCCTCTGCATACCTGACTGTCTGCAAGACCTCCCTGGATCTCAGTTCTCTATTGTAGATGGAAGCTTTAAGAAATGTCGGATTTACTCAATGCTAAAAAAGAAAGTGCTAACGGAAGCTCCTTTTCCCATTGACATGTTAGGCATGTATTCCAGAGTCTGCCTTTATCCCCACATCTGTCCCAGAGCCTCCATTTATGTCACTTCCAATGAATTTTGTGTTATTTTAAACATAATTATAATAGATAAATAATAATTGTAAATGTTCATGAGTCACACAGTGATGTTTTGATACATATAATATATAGGGATTAGGATAATTAGCATATCCATCATCGCAATCCTTTTCTTTTTATTGAGAATACTAACATACTTCTTCTACCTCTTTGAAACTCCATATTATTGTTAACTATATCTCTCGCACAGTAATACATGGCCGTGTCCTCGGCTGTCAGGCTGTTCATCTGCAGATACAGCGAGTTCTTGGCGTTGTCTCCGGAGATGGTGAATCGGCCCTTCACGGAGTCTGCGTAGTATATGTTACCACCACCACTACTAATGGCTGAGACCCACTCCAGCCCCTTCCCTGGAGCCTGGCAGACCCAGTGCATGCCATAGCTACTGAAGGTGAATCCAGAGGCCGCGAAGGAGAGTCTCAGGGACCCCCCCAAGCTGAACCAAGCCTCCCCCAGACTCCACCAGCTGCACCTCACACTGGACACCTGCAAACAAGAAGAAACCCTGGTCAGAAAGTTTCATAAATATCCACCATTTATCTCACTCTTATCACTCACACTCAATTTCACATGAATTACCTTTTAAAATAGCAACAAGGAAAACCCAGCTCAGCACAAACTCCATGGTGAGTTCAGTCTCTGTGTTCTGCGCTGATCACCAAATGCAAACACCTGACAATCCCAGGGCTGGGCTCCTCTCCCAGAGCTGCAGGTCAGGGCTGGGCTCGTTTTCATCAGCAGAGGGAGGGCTCTATTTGCATGTCTCCTGCTATATAGCAAGATCTGTAGTGACAGGCGTGAGGAGAGATCGGGGCTCAGAGCACGGGACAGAGTCCTGGGGGAGATTTGTGACACTGATAGTATTGGAAATTGTGGTTTCTTATTGTAAGTTTGTTCTGTGATAAACCCTTAAAACCCATGAAACCTATATATTTTAATTTCTATTTTAAAACAGTTTTATTGAGGCACAATAAATCTATATAAACCACATATATTTAAAGTTAGCACCAATCATCTTTTAGGTTTACATATGCAGAGAAAACATGTGGTATCAATGTTAAAAAATTACCAGGAAAAGCACAGGTGGGTTATACAATGTCCCCAGAGCTCACATTTGGTCAGAGTGCACCTGTGTACCTGGGCCTGTGCTTCTCACCACTGGACCTGACTTCTCCTTGAACCAAGCCCAGCACACAGTGGGTGGCACCTAGTGAGGTTTGCAGAACCTTTTCTCTGTAATGAGAACATGATGTGATGTGTACACACTGCTGTGACTACCTAACAAATGTAAAGAAAAGCACATTTTCTACAGTTGCATTTTCTTGAGTGTCATACATATTTTATATTGGTGTCTATCTTGTCATCAATCTTTAACCAATTACTCATCCGCTTATTGGCAATACCCTTTTGAGGCATTATTGCTGCATAATAAATACTGCATAATGAATGTGTGCAGTTGAATAAGCACTGAAGCCGAGCCTGGTGGTGCACACCTGTGGTCCCAGCTATGCAGGAAGAGGAAGGAGGATTGCTGCAGACCCAGTGAGGGTGCAGAGAGCTGTGATCTTACCACTGAGCTCCAGCCTGGATGACAAAGCAAGACCATGTCTTCAAAGGAAAACACGTCACTTCACATGTGCTCACCTGTGCAGCCCATATAACCGTCAAGATACCAATGAACTACACTTAAAAGCTTCTGTCTCTTCCCAATTCCTGCCTCCCAGTCATTTCCCTCTTATTGTACTGAGACAAACTTTCATCTTTGTTACTTTAGATCTATTTTTCAAGATTTTGTTAAAGTGAAATCTTGTAGCTTCAATTTTACTTCTGTGGCTTCTTCCTCAGCCTAATTACTTGTGAGTCAGTAATTTGGTTGTGTATTAAAATGTGTTGATCCTAATGAGGAGCAGCATTGCAGTGAATGAGAGCACCCCTATTATTTATTTATAAAGGACCATAACATTTATGTTATTTCTAGATTTTAGTATTAAAAATGAAGTTTATAGTCAGCATGGAGATACAGGCATCCAAGAAAAGTATTTACAACCGATTTTACTGAGCTGCAAATTGGCGTGTTTTCTTTAGTACATCAGATTATTGATGTTATAGGACAAACAAGAGGCCTTACATCTTGAGAAACTCAGTGATTTACAAAAACAAACAGGGAGAGAATATGACCGTATGTAGGGCAGAGGCCAGCAAATGTCACATAAGATAAAACAAGATTAAACTGAACATTTTATTTAAATTATTTAAAATTTAGTGCAGTGAAGTTATTGTTTAAATTCTCAGAGCACGCACAACTGAGGGATTCCTCCTGCTACTGAAACCTTTTCTGCCAGGATTGAGGATACGTCACAGAAATCTCCACCCTCTACCTCCCGAGATGCTTCTGTGTGGGAAAACGGAACAGCAGCTGTGGCTGAAATGCATCCAGACCCACCTCCCCTGCCACCACTGCATTACCAAAGCTCTCACCTGCAGGGGCAAAGGCGCTAACACCTCTATGTTGCTGGCACTGGAGGAACTCATATCCAAAGCTCTGTCCATTCTCTTAGGAATGACAGCCTCATCTCCCACCTCCTCTCATTTCCTCAGAAATAGCAGCCTCATCTGCTGGGAGGGGCAGAAAAGTGAAAGCTGAAGACATCAGTGGGAAGACTTAGTGGCTGCTGGAAGATCTGAGGAAAAAACAACCAAGGAGAGACTCTCCCCAGGAGAAAGAGGAAGGCACATGGATCAGCATTGCACCTGCAGGAGGCTCAGGGATACATGAAGGACACACCCTGAGCCAGGACTGTGATGTCAGCCAGCAGTGTGCCCCCTCAGAAAAGCAGAGAGTGCCCATTCAGTGCATCCCTTCCCAACTCATTTTCAACACTCAGGACCACGTACCTCTTGCATGACCTGGGGGATCTGAAAGGCAGAGTCTCTCTGTTTAGCACAGGATTAAGGCCCAAAGCCAAGCAGGAAATAAAATGAAGATGTCACTGGAGGAATCTGAGTGGTATCTGCAGAGGAAACACACTTCAGTTCTGGCAGCCACTGGGACAATGACTTTCAAATGTATCCCTGATTAGTTTCACACAATTTTCTACAATAAATGCCTAGATAAGATAGGGTGTGATCATCTACAAAAGTTGCAATAATCATAAAATAAATAATTAGAGGTCACAAGGAATCTGAGAGAAGTATCTGGGGAACATTAATTTTGAAATAATTTGCTTAAGTACTTTTAAAACATTTACGCTTGATCCCACAGTTAGTCTACATGTAACTCTTTAAGAAATTGCCAGCATGTGTTTAATTTTACTAACACTTTATTAATGTCATGCTTGTGAATGTATAAAAGAACAGAGAGTAGCTCTTCTTAGAAGTATTGATAAAAGTCCAACTTAGCAAAATACTTAGAGAGATTTATTCTGAGCCAAATGTGAGGACCATGACCGGTGACACAGCCCCAGAAGATTCTGAGTAGCTTATAGGAACCTGTCCTTGTCAGGGGAAATTATTTGCTGAGGTAACCACATTGAAGTTGAGACTTGAAAGATGCCAGATTCCTCTCTGAAAACCTTTTCTGTTGACACCATAAGTAAACTTAGCAGAAACAAATGTTAGCATTTCTTCTATGTTCAAATTCCCCACACACTGGGAGAATAAACTTTGGGGACTTATCTTTACAAACAAACAGTCTAGTAGATTTCTAAAGTCCTTTACAAACCCAACGATTCTGATTAGTTTGCAGATTATGCAGAACATTCCACATAATAGGAATCTGCAGTTAGCTGGATTCCCCTGCATTGGGGTTTTCTCATGTTTAATTTATGTAGATACAGAATACTACAAAACCTGTAAGGGGTACATGTGATATTTTGATAAAAGTGTATTATGTGTAGTGATCAAATCTGGGTAACTGGAATATCCTTCAGCTCAAGAATCGATTATTTCTTTGTGTTGAGAACATTCTAAATCTTGTTTTCTACTTTTTTAAAATATAGCCATTTCAGAATTTCCACCAGGAAGGAGTGAAAGTTCCTAGGAGTTTCTCAGCTTCCTCATCACCATTTGGTATTTTCTATACTGCGTGTTTTAGTCATCCTAATAGGCTAGTAGTATTTTTTGAATCTGTCTCGATGATAACATGGTTTTTGTATTCAGTTTTGCTTACATGATGAATAACATTTACTGATTTGCATATGTTGAACCAACCTTGCATCCCAGGAGCAAAGCCTACTTGATCATGGTGGATTAGCTTTTCAATGTGCTGCTGTGTTCAGTTTGTCAGTATTTCACTGAGCAATTTTGCATTAGAAATAGTGGCCTAAAGTTACCTTTTCTTTTTTTTTAATTGAGTCTCTGTCACGGTGTGTTATCAGAATACTGTTCCCATAGAATAATACAGGCAGTGGTCCTTCCTCCTCAGGTTATGGGAATAGTTTCAGTAGGATTGGCGCAACTCTTATTTAAGAATCTTTCTGGTTCATGGCTTTTTCTGGTTGTTACCACCTGTCTATCTTGATGTCTGACCCTTACCTAAGCCAGTAGTAATCACATTGAATTCAGATAAAGCTGAATCCAATCCAATGTTTATTGTAGTTCTTAACAACTTTACTGGCTCACTTAACTTCGGGAACATTTCTTCACCAAAAACAGTTTCTCTGCCAATAATATTTAAGAATTTCTGTTGGAAATTTTTTCATGTATTTTAGTGATGAAATTTATTTTAAAACAACGTTGACCTCTCCACATGCATAAAGATCTTTCTTACTACTGTTGAACGGGCCAGCAACCCTCTATTCCTGCTGCTTCCCTCTGCATACCTGACTGTGTGCAAGACCTCCCCGGACCTCAGTTCTCTATTGTAGAGGGAAGCTTTGAGAAATGTCAGATCTACTCAGTGCTAAAAATAGAAAATGCTAATGGAAGCTCCTTTTCCCATTGACATATGTATTCCAGTGGCTGCCTTTATCCCCACATCTGTCCCAGAGCCTCCGTTTATGTCACTTCCAATGAATTTTGTGTTATTTTAAACATAATTATAATAGATAATAATTTTAAATGTTCATGAGTCACACAGTGATGTCTTGATACATAAAATATATAAGGGCCAGATTAGGGTAATTAGCATATCCATCATCGCAATCCTTTTCCTTTTACTGAGAGTATTAACATACTTCTTCTACCTTTTTTAAACTCCATATTACTGTTTACTATATTCATCCCACAGTGGTAAATGATACTATAATCTATTCCTCCTACCTAACTGTAATGTTGCATTCTATAACAAATCTCTGCCTATCTCCCCCTTTCCACTACCCTTCCCAGCCTCTAGAATTCTCTGTTCTAATCTCTACTTCTAACAGACCTTTTTTATTCTTTCTTTCTTTTTTTTTTCTTTCACATATGAGTGAAAAAACAAGGTCTATTACTTTCTGCTCCGGCTTCATTTAACATAGTGTTTTCCATTTTCACCCTCATTGCCACAAATAACAGGATTTCATTTCTTATGGGTGACTAGTATTCATCATGTATCTGCACCACATTATCTTGAACCATTCATCTCTTCTCCAGCACCAGGTTTGATTTCATATCTTGGCTATTGTGAAAGATCCTGCCATATACATTGGTGTGCAGAAATCTCTGACATAATGATAATGATTTTCATTTTTTTGGGTAAATTTGCACAATTGGAATTGCAGGATCATAAGTTAGTTTCATTTGTAGTTTTCTGAGTTACTACCACACTGCTCTCCATAGTGACTGTACTAATTTACATTCTCCCCAACAATGCATAACAGTTTTTCTCTGAATCCTTACTAGCATTTGTTAGGATTTTTCTTTCTTTTCTGACAACAGCCATCTTAAGTGAGGTGAGATGATATCTCCTATCATTCTGCAGGTTGTTTACTCACC